CAGAAGTAACACGGTCAGTCCCAGGCTCTCCGGGTCCAGCAGAGGGCTCACCCGCACCCCCAGTCGCAGTTCAACCAACACCAACTCCCCGAAGAACAGAGTCTCCTGCAGTCACAGGCTCAGCTCCAACTCCAGCACCCCCAGAACCAGGACCTCGCACAGGTACGCTCTCAACTACAATGCCAACACCTCTAGAGCTAGCATCTCCAGGGTCCTCGCCACCAACACCAGCTCCCGCAGGGTCAACAGAAGGCTGTGAGGAGGACTGCGCGAAAGGGGACGTCACTTGAGGGGCTACCGAGGGGGGGGGGGGGGGGGGGGAGCGTGTCACACACCTGACAGGGCTGGACAAGGGGGGAGGGGGGGCTGTACCGGAGGAGCAGGGGGAGCAGGAGTGAGGAAGAGAGGGGGAGGAGGAACCGGGAGACCTCAAAAGGGGTACCGGGCGTAGTAGGGGACGGACTCGTGAAAACGGACGTCGCGGGAATAAAAAAACTGGTGAAGGGGAGGGTGGTAGAAGGTGTAGTTTGAAGAGTCCTCTGGGAAACCAAGGAAGACACAGGGAAGGGCGCGAGGGGAGAGCTTGTCCGCGGAGGTGTCGCGAACAAGCGCCAAGCAGCCCCAGACACGAAAACGCGACGCAGCACCAGGGGACCCGGTCCAAAGACTGGTCGGCGAAGCCTCTGGCCAAGAAACACGTGGCCAGAGGTTTGGCTGGTGAGCGGCGTACCGAACCGCGTAGGGCCACAGAAAATGGGGGGCACGTGTGTGAGTCATGGAGGTGCGGGCGATCTCCATGACCAAGCCTATGCGGCGCTCAGCAACCCCATTTTGCTGTGGGGACTATGGGAGCGTCCAGGACTGACGGATGCCCTGCTCGCGACAGAATCCAGCGAGAACGCCGGAGCAAAATTCACCCCCGCGCTCGGAGTGGAGACAACTGACACCACGACCACGAGTGTCTGTGGTGGTATGTAACCACCTGATCAGTGTAAAAGTCACCTCGGACTTCTTTGCCAGGGGAAACACTGTGGTGTAGCGGGAGTAGTCATCAACGATCACCACAAAGAAACTCTCTCGCTCAGGGCCAGGGCGAGAGGCGGGGCCCCAGACGTCCAAGTGGAGAGTCTCGAAAAGCTCGGTGGTCGGACGAAGGGAGGAGGAGTGAGGGGTGGCGCGCAGCCGACCCTCGACGCAGGGACCGCACGGTGGTGCAAGCGAAGGCGGCAGCGACGGCAAGACTCGCGGGAGGCCTAAGACAAGACGCTGACTAGACATAGCGCGCAGGCGAGGAATGGACGGGTGCCCCATCCGGTGGTGCAGCAAAATGGTGGGGTGGGCAAGCGACCGGCACGAGCAAGACGCAGCAACTGGACCGGACACTGGAACCTGACCAGACACAGCTACCTGGTGAGAGTCGGCAACCTGGTGAGACGCGGGGACCTGACGGGGGGCAGTGACAGGGGTCAGAGGCTGCTGCTGCTGCTGCTACCTCCCTCGGGGGCCAGTGTGAAGTGTGTAGAGACCAGAGCCCGGCTCAGCGGTAAAGGTGGCCAGAGACGTGTATGTGTCACCGTCTACACAGGTCGCAGTCACCCTAGAAGGCTCAAACCAAACACCCACGTGACTACCCACAAGTGGCCGCACACCCACCAAGTTCCTAGAGAACGAGGGGACGTGGTCACGTGAAGCTCCAGAGTCAAGGGTGAAGGACAGTGAAGCGTCCTCCGGAGCAGCATCTGGACTAGTGTCTAAGCAAGTACCTAAACTAGCAACTGGCACAGAGTCAACACTGGCACCTAAGCTAAAAACACGCGAGTAAACAGAGTCAGAAGCACTAGAGTCAACAACAGCATACATAGCATGAGGAGTTCCTAAGAGATCAAGCAACTGAGAAGCAGACATGCCCCACAGGGCAGCACCGTGCGAGTGAAGAAAAGGAAGCCACTCAAGGGCAGGGTCGTCGATGCCGTAGGCCGTGCGAAGTGTGTCAGTGAGCTGAGCAAAGCACTGACCTGGGGTGTGGCTGCGGCCACACTAGAGGCCACGACGAGTAACTGTCTAGACGAGATAGGTGCAGGGAGGGTGGACGGCACCGCATGACAGCTGACGCGGTCTTGACCCCTGCCCCAGAGCCTGCTGCTGCCTCTGCTACTGCTGCGGCTGCTGCGAGAGGAGTGGCTGCTGTACCAAGCCGCCACTCTAGCACCTGTAGATGGTAGTCCTGCAGGTGCCCGACCAACCCGAGCGTCACCTCCACCAGTTGCAGTAGGGGGGTCACTCAACGCTGCACGAGGCGCTCCTCCAACTCCTGCACTCTTGCCACCGCCGCTCGCCAGACCACCTCCTCCGCCTCCGCCGCCGCCCGCACCCTGACCGCCCCTCTTGCCACTCCTACCCCTAGACCGCGCAGTCGCAACAGCAGCTGCGGTCGCGTCAGTAGCGGCAGTGGCAAGGGAGGCTGTAAAGGTGGGCAGCTGATGGACAGTGCAGCCGTGGAACAGTGGAGGGGACACGGCGCCAGAGGCGGAGGCTACCGAGCGGATGTTGTACTCGACGTCCTTGAGAGCAGACTCAAGGACGTCGATTGAGAGCTCGCTAGGGTGCTTCAGAAGAAGCGCGTCACGAACCGAGGCAAGGCGGTCAGGGAGGCTAGTGGCGATAAAATAGATAGTAATCGCCATGGGGGGAGGGAGCAGTGCAAGCTGTGCGTCAGTGCAGGCAGCGCGGTAGCTAGAATTCAGTGAGCGCAGGTGGGCGATCAAGTCAGCAGAGCGCTCAAATGAGGCGAGGTCAGGGAACAGGAACGGGAGTCACTAGCCGTGCGAACCTAAGTGAAGTGGGTCTCCTCAGACTCAGGGAGGAGGCTGCTGAGAGCGATACAGACTACAGCGTCACGCGACTTCTATGCTGTTTGGGTAGCACACTGGCGTGCATAACGATCTCTGTTTGTAGCGGTTGCATCAGCGCCTAAGGGTGCAGCATCGGGGGGCGCAAGAAGGTCACTGGAAGAGTGCGCCACAAAGACTCGTCTGCCTGAACCTGACTCTCTAGGAGACGTTGCGCATGCAGGAGCCAGAAGAAAACTCGAGCGGCCTACCCTCGGCGTCAAAGCGGAGGACCCTAGGCGTCGCCATAGCGGAAGCGAAGAGGTGAGAACCGTCGCTGCCGAAACCCCAAACGCCTAGAGGGCCTGAGTAGGGCGTGACATGCAGAGTGTAAGGCTCAGGGCACTACGGGACGTGCAGGGCGCGACGGGAAGGCAGGGTAGGGCGCGACACGGTGGGAAGAGGAGAGCGCGACGCGACGGGCAGGGAGGCGCGACGGGATAGGCGAGGGGACGGGACTGGACAGGCGCAACGTGACGGGGCGGCAGGCGCGACACGACGAGACGGGACGGGCAGCGCGACGCGACGGGACGGGACGGGCAGTGCGACGCGACGGGACGGGACGGGCAACGCGACGCGATGGGATCGGACAGGCAGCGCGACGCGATGGGACAGGACGGGCAGGCGCAACGCGACGGGATGGGACAGGCAGCGAGGCGCGACGGGACGGGACGCGCAGGCGCGACGCGACGGGACGGGACAGACGGGCGCGACGCGACTGGCAGGGGCAACGCGACGGGACGGGACGGACGGGCGCGATGCGACTGGCAGGCGCGACGGGCGCTAGGGTACGAGACGGGCTGGCGCTACAGGCGCTAGGGGACGGTACGGGCGCTATGGTACGGGACGGGCTCGACGGTACGGGCGCAACGGGCGCTAGGGTACGAGACGGGCTCGACGGTACGGGCGCTACGGGTGTTATGGTACGGGACGGGCTCGACAGTGCGGGCACTGCGGGCGTTAGGGTACGGGACGGGCTCGACGGTAGGGCGCTACTAGCGTTAGGGTGAGGAACGGGATCCCTCAGGATCCTAACCTAGGTGATACCATGTCAAGAACTGAATGCTGCATTGACTATGGTTGATTGGGGTACATAAACCTAACCCTAACTGCTGTACCCGATATGGCACACATCGCTAAAGGCTACAACATTTGACAGCGGCCCCTGACGCCTTCGTTTCTTCATTTTCTATCTGCTGCTGTTGAGCGGCAGGTGCTGCCGTTGAGCCTTGCTGTACCGTCGCGTGTTGCCGCCGCACGCTCCTCTTTAGGCTACCTGCGCCACATGCACCTATTTTTTCTCTTTCTGTCTTGAATAAGGACTTGCTGCAGCGGTATCTGCCACTAATGCACCGGTTGCCAATGCTCTTGCGTGCTCCTGCTTTCTTCTACTTGGTGTACCCGTGCAGGTTATGTTTGTGCACATGGCTATCTTAACACAAAGCACATCCGCTGCTGCGCTCAGGCGGTCCGTTCCGCCCTACCCTACCATCCCGTCGCACCCTAGGCTTCACGCACTGCCCGTCACGCCCTACTCAGCCCCACTTGGTGTTTAGTGTTTCGGCAGTTTCAGTTCCCACCTGTTCGCTACAGCTATGGCGACCCCTAGGGTTCTGCGCTTTGACGCCTAGGGTAGGCCGCTTGTGTTCTCTGTCTAGCTGCTGCGTGCGCAACGCCTCCTAGAGAGTCAGGTTCAGGCAGACGAGTCTCTGTGGGCGCACGCTTCCGGTGACCTTCCTGTACCCTCCGACCCTACACCTTTAGGCGCTGACGCCAACACTGCAGCCAGAGACCGTTATGCACGCCAGCGTGCTGACCTGACAACGTGGAAGTCGCGTGACATTGCGGCCTGCATCCCTCAGCAGCCTCCTCCTTAAGTCTAAGGAGACTCACTTCACTCAGGTTCGCACTGCTAGTGAGTTCCTGACTGCGATCAAGGCCCGCTACGCTACTCCCACCACTGTCTCTCTTGGTCGACTGTTCCTCTTGTTCCTGTTTCCTGACCTCGTCTCGTTTGAGCGCTCTACTTACTTGATTGCTCACCTGCGCTCGCTCGATTCTAGCTACCGTGCTGCGTGCACTGCCGCATAGCTTGCACTGCTCCCTCCCCCCATGGCGATTACTATCTATTTCATCGCCACTAGCCTCCCTGACTGCCTTGCCTCCGTTCGTGACGCGCTTCTTCTGAAGCACCCTAGCGAGCTCACTATCGAGGTCCTTGAGTCTGCGCTCAAGGACGTCGAGAGCAACCTCCGCTCGGTAGCCTCCGCCTCTGGTGCTGTGCCCCCTCCACTGTTTCACGGGTGCACTGTCCCTCAGCTGCCCACCTTTACTGCCTCCCTCGCCACTGCCGCTACTGACGTGACCGCAGCTGCTGTTACGACTTCTGCGCGGTCTAGGGGTAGGAGTGGCAGGAGGGGCGGTCAGGGTGCGGGCGGAGGCGGCGGAGGCGGCGGAGGTGGCGTGGCGAGCGGCGGTGGCGGGAGTGCAGGAGTTGGAGGAGCGCCTCGTGCAGCAGCTAGTAACTCGATTGCTACGGCTGGTGGAGGTGACCCTCGGGTTCGTCAGGCACCTTCTAGTCTGCAGGTGCTGGAGTGGCGGCTTGGTACCTGACTCAGCGACAGCAGCAGCAGCAGCCACTCCTCTCGCAGCAGCCACAGCAGCAGCAGAGGCAGCAGCAGGGTCTGGGGCAGGGGTCAGGACCGCGTCAGCTGTCGCGCGGTGCCGTCCACCCTCCCTGCACCTGTCTCGTTTAGACAGGTGCTCGCCGAGGCCTCCCCTATGGCCGCAGCCACCCACCGGGTCAGTTCTTTTCTCAGCTCACTGACACACTTTGTGCGGCCTACAGCGTTGACGGCCCTGCCCCTGATTGGCTTCCCCTTGTTGAGACGTACGGCCCCGCTCTGTGGGGCATGTCGGCTTCTCAGTTGCTTGATCTCTTAGGAACTCCTCATGCTATGCATGCGGTTGTTGCCTCTAGTTCTTCTGACTCTGTTTACTCGAGTGTTGTTAGCTTAGGTGCTAGTGTTGCTGAGGTGCCTGTTGCTAGTGTAGGTACTTGTGTAGACACTAGTCCAGGAGCTGCTCCGGAGGACGCTTCGCTGTCTTTCACTCTGGACTCCGGAGCTTCGCACTGTTTTTTCCGAGACCACACGTTGCTTACTCCGCTTCCTGCGCCGGTCTCTGTAGCACTGGCTGATCCCACTTTGGGACCAGTCACTGCTCGCTACACTACTACGCTTCCGTGCCCAGCTGTTCCCTTAGGTTTCCTGACGGGCTTCCACGTCCCCTCGTTCTCCAGGAACTTGGTGGGTGTGAGGCCGCTCGTGAGTAGTCACGTGGGTGTTTGGATTGAGCCTTCTGGGGAGACTGCGGTTTGTGTAGACAGTGACACGTACGCGCCTCTGGCCACCTTTACTGCTGAGTCGGGCTCTGGTCTCTACACACTTCACACTGGCCCCCGAGGGCAGCAGCAGCAGCAGCAGCAGCAGCAGCATTAGCAGCAGCAGCAACAGCAGCAGCAGCAACAGCAGCAGCCGCAGCAGCAACAACAGTAGCCGAAGCAACAACACCTTTTGCCCCCGACCCCTGTCACTGCCCCCCGTCAGGTCCCCGCGTCTCACCAGGTTGCCGCGTCTCACCAGGTTCCCGTGTCTGGTCCAGTTGCTGCGTCTTGCTCCTGCCGGTCGCTTGCCCACCCCACCATTGTGTGGCACCATTCCTCGCATGTGCGCTATGTCTAGTCAGCGTCTTAGCTTAGGCCTCCCGCGTGTCTTGCCGTCGCTGCCGCCTTCGCTTGCACCACCTTGCGGTCCCTGCGTCGAGGGTCGGTTGCGCGCCACCCCTCACTCCTCCTCCCTTCGTCCGGCCACCGAGCCCTTCGAGACTCTCCACTTGGACGTCTGGGGCCCCGCCTCTCGCCCTGGCTTTGAGCGAGAGCGTTTCTTTCTGGTGGTCGTTGACGACTACTCCCGCTACACCACGGTGTTCCCCCTGGCGAAGAAGTCTGAGGTGACTTCTACGCTGATCAGGTGGTTACTTACCACTGCAGACACTCGTGGTAGCCGTGTCAGCTGTCTTCACTCCGACCACGGGGGTGAGTTTCGCTCCGGCGTTCTCACTGGATTCTGTCGCGAGCAGGGCATCCGTCAGTCCTGGACGCTTCCAGAGTCCCCATAGCAGAATGGGTCCATAGGTTTGGTCATGGAGATCGCCCGCACCTCCATGACTCACGCCCGTGCCCCTTATTTTCTGTGGCCCTACGCGGTTCGGTACGCCGCTCACCAGCTGAACCTCTGGCCACGTGTCTCTCGGCCAGAGGTTTCACCGACCAGTCTTTGGACCGGATCTCCTGGTGCTGCGTCGCGTTTTCGTGTCTGGGGTTGCTTGGCACTTGTTCGCGACACCTCCACGGACGAGATTTCGCCTCGCGCCGTTCCTTGTGTCTTCCTTGGTTTCCCAGAGGACTCCTCTGACTTCACCTTTTACCACCCTCCCCTTCACCGGTTCTTTGACTCCCGTGACGTTCGTTTCGACGAGTCCGTCCCCTACTACGTCAGGTACCCCTGTCGAGGTCTCCCGGTTCCTCCTCCCCCTCTCTTCCTGACTTCCGCTCCCCCTCCTGCTCCCCCGGTAAAACCTCCCCCCTGGTCCCGCCCCGTCAGGTGTGTCCCACGCTACCCCTTTTCCTCGGTAGCCCCTTAGGTGCAGCCTCAGGTGTAGTCCTCCTCACAGCCTACTGCAGACCCTGCGGGAGCCGGTGTTCGTGGCGAGGACCCTGGAGGTGCTAGCTCCAACGGATTTGGAGTTGGAGCTGAGAGCGTACCTGTGCGAGGTCCTGGTTCTTGGGGTGCTGGAGTTGAAGCTGAGCCCGTGGCTGCAGGAGACCCTAGCCTTCAGGGAGCTGGTGTTGGTCGAGCTGTTCCTGGGGGTGCTACGACTGGGGGTGCGCCCTCTGGTGGACCTAGAGAGCCTGGGACTGACCCTATTACTTCTGGTGGTGCTGGCTTTGGGGGTGGTGTTGGCTTTAGAGTTCGTGCGGATGGTGCCTTGGAGGGTAGTCCTGGGGCTGCCCCTGCCCCGGACACTACTCCGCGACCGCATCCCTACCCGACCCGGCACCAGGCCCGTCTTCGCCGTGCACGTGAGGAGCAGCTGGAGTTGGAGAGAGAGAGCCTGTAGTTGGAGCAGCAGCTGCTGAAGCTGCGGCAGCTGGAGGAGCAGCAGCAGCAGCAGCAGCAGCCGCAGCAGGAGCAGCAGCAGCAGCAGCAGCCGCAGGAGGGTCAGCCGCAACAGCAGCAATAGCTGGAGGTGCAGCGACCGCAGCAGGAGCAGCAGCGACCGCAGCAGGAGCAGCAGCAGCCGCCGCCTCCTCCTCCTGTTTCTTGTCTTCGGACCCTCGGTCTCCCCTCTCCCTCTCCTTCCTCCTCCTCACCTCCCGTCTCTGGTCCTCCGCTTCCTCCTCCTGACCCCTCCCCAGCTGTTTTCCCTCGATCTCAGCCTCCGTTGTCCCCTCCCCTTTCTCACACTTGGGCTTCTCGTCGCTCTCCTCGTGCTCGTCCCTCGTCCCCTGTTCCCGTCACTGACCTTCGTACTGCCCTGTTTCGTTATATTCCGCCTCGTTCGTCTCCTTTTGTACTTCCTTCTCCTCCTTAGTTTGAGCTAGAGTTCCTGGCAGCCGCTTCCCCTCATCTCTGTGCCATGCTGCTCGCCCCTGAGGGAGACCCCAACGCCCTTGACATACCGACTCCTCGCACTTACGCTGAGGCAGTGTTAGGGCCTTGGGCCTCTCAGTGGAGAGCTGCCATGGACGCAGAGATGGCCTCCTACAGATCCACAGGCACCTATGTCGATGAGGTTCCTTTCGTTGGGCGAACGTAGTCGATGGCATGTGGATCTTCAGGGTGAAGCGGCCACCGGGATCTCCTCCGATCTTCATGGCGCGCTATGTGGCTAGAGGTTTCAGTCAGCGCGAGGGAGTCGACTTCTTTCAAACCTTCACGCCTACCCCAAAGATGATCACTCTTTGGGTGTTACTGCACGTAGCAGCACAGAGAGACTACGAGCTACACTCTCTTGACTTCTCCACTGCCTTCCTTCAGGGTAGCCTACACGAGGAGGTCTGGTTGCGTCGTCCCTCTGCCTTCACTGTCACTTTTCCTCCTGGGATCCACTGGAGGCTGAGGCTACAGGTCTACGGTCTCCGTCAGGCTCCTCGTGAGTGGCACGACACCCTTCGTTCTACCCTGTCTGACCTCGGTTTCTGGCCGTCTTCTGCCGACCCGTCGTTGTTCGTTCGTCGTGGCTCCACACCGTTCTTTGTACTGGTCTACGTCGACGACCTGGTTTTCGCCACTGCTGACAGGGTTGCTTTGGCTGACGTGAAGTCCGAACTGCAGAAGAGACACACGTGCACTGACCTTGGTGAGCTGCGCCACTACCTTGGCCTGCAGATCACCAGGGATAGAGCCACTTGCACCATTACACTCTCACAGTCACACATGGTGCAGCAGGTCCTTCAGCGGTTCGAGCTTTAGCACTCCACAGTACAACACACACCTCTTGCTGTTTACTACAGACTCACTGGACCCTTTCTTGACGAGCCGTTTGAGCCTAGTGGTCCCTACGCAGAGCTTGTGGGTTGCCTCATGTACCTGATGACTTGTACTCGCCCGGACCTCGCCTTCCCTCTCAGCATTCTGGCTCGCTTTGTTGCGCCAGGGAGACACCGCCCTGTTCACTGGACAGCTGCTGTGAGGGTGGCGAAGTACCTAGCGACGACATCAGGCGTGGGGCTGGTTCTTGGAGGGAGTCAGCCTGTCGTACTTACTAGTCACTGTGACTCTTCTTACGCTGACGACGCTGAGACTCACAGGTCTACTCAGGGGTACTGTTTCAGCCTGGGCTCTGGAGCTGTTTCGTGGAGGTCCACGCGTTCCTCCTCGGTCTCGACCTTTACCGTTGAGGCTCAGATCTACGCTGGTGCTATGGCGGCACAGGAGCTGCGCTGGTTGACCTTCTTGCTCACTGACCTTGGTGAGCGGCCGAGCTCTGCACCGACCTTGTTCACTGACAACAAGGCGTCGATTCTCCTCTGTCGAGAGCCGCGACTGGAGAGCAGAGTGAAGCACATCAACGTCAGGTACTTTCTTCTGCGAGAGTTGCAGAGGCGTGGACAGGCTCGCTTCGACTTTGTGGAGTCCGAGGCCAACACTGCAGACATCTTCACCAAGGCCCTTACGCCTTATGACCACCACAGATGTTGTGTGCAGTTAGGTCTCGTTGACACAGGTTCTCGTCTTGCGTAGACTTGAGTTTTTTGCTTGCTTTGCTTGTACGCTTTAGATATACCTTTGTGAACTCTTGGACTGGTCTTGTGGCCCGTTTTCTTGTGCTCATACTGTCAAAATATGTTGTGTAGGCTGTAGTGGGGTAGCCCATAAGGGGTACAACCCAATTAGGGTTTGCCATATTTGTACCACATTCCTGCCTAGTTCATTCATTCTGCTGTTAGATTCTAATATGGTTTCAGAGCAGGTCCTGTTCCAGGACCGTTTTTCTCGTTAGGGCCCACCAATCGTACCCTGTCCATTGCGCTGCCCCACTGCACGCGC